AAAAAAAAAAAAAAAAAAAAAAAAAAAAAAAAAAAAAATGGCATAGCTGGTTTTCCTCCAAATTTATCAAGGAAATTGTAGAATGAGAACTCACTGACAGAGATTGACACCTAAAACAATAAATTCGGCCTCATCAGCTGTCAACTCATAGAAATCGAAGGTGAGTAATTTTGGAAGTATGGGGTGGGTGGGTACGGAAAGAGCCCATTACAACCCTTTAGGACTTTTTCAAATATTGAAACTTCATCAGGAATTTATTTGGAAACATTTTGGTGGCGTATCATTGTACTCAAAACGTTTTTTTCATGGCAAGCGTATTTGACAGTCATGGTTTTCCAAATTTGATCCTTTTTCTTGTTTTACATGTATCCAGTGAACAAAATATATCTTTCAATCATGCAGGTATGCCTACACTGTTTGGACTTTTTGGCATTTCGTTGATCTTGATCAATTTTGAGTTATTCTTGGTAGTTTTCTGACATCATGGTAAAAACAAGAAACCCAACACTGCGAAATAACCTACGAATCGAAGATATCAGGACGATTTTTTGGACATCAGAACGTAATTACCAAGTGATGTGATGTCATCGTCTCCTTTTGCTTTCCTCCAAGGAAACGCTTTTGGAAGTACTATATACACTGTAACATTTTTAAATTTTGCTAAAATATTCTTGTCTCCTTACAACATCTGATTACTTAAATAGGCTTGCCGAAATGGACATGCAGAGAGTAAGCTTGCGTCTTTGATACACATAACTATTACAAGTCTAACCTCTTGTGTTTCGGTGTACTGAGGCTCCATTTTAACTATTTTCACTGCTTTTATTTTATTCAAAACATGACACTTGTACACCTGCAAGATATTGTGCAAGGAATATTAAAAAACAAAACAAAACAAAACAAAACAAAACGAAATGTAGGTTAACATCCCTCAGACGACTGTTATTAAAATTCAGTTGTCCTTGTGGAATTTGAAACCTCGGAAATCTACCGAAAAACAAGTTGAGTAGTGAAGGAATTTACAGTTGCCATGTATCAACTTACAGTTTTCAATCGTGTATAGAGTGAGGCCGTTACAATTACTCAGAACTGAACGTAACAAAAAAAGCCATATTAATTTCGTTGAAATAATTTGTTAAAAGTCTAACAGACGATTAGTTTTGAATCAGATCTTAGTTATGTGGTCTGAAGTTATCAGTACATCTCAATTGGCTGCCTCATGTTAAATAATATATTTTCTAAAAGTTTAACAAATGAAGAACCGTGAGGGAATTTTAGGTTTGAAGTGAAGGTTAAATTTTTGCAGTAATCAGCAATACTTTATAACACACGTCGTAAGGTTAACCATGACGAATTTTATTTCAATAAAAGATGAGCCAATCATTTTCACTGATTTTTGTTTAATTAGCCGGAACCATGGTTTAGCCTGTTTCAGGTTATTAGAACGATATAAAGCACCTTGCCAAAATTTCCTGCCCCAAGGCATTCTCCTTGAGTCCAACTGGTGAAAGGAAAGTCTATCACTGAAAAGGAAAATTAAAGGATCAAACTAACCGAGGGAATAATGGCACAAGCGTCAACTAGATTACTCTGAAAAATGTATTGAATGCGATATGCTTCTACTGCAGTGGGGGGTGTGGTGGGGTGGGAGGGGCACACAGCAAGTCTGTCAACTTGTGTTTGTGGGACTTAGCGGAAGCGTTATAAAATAACAAATAAATTATCACGTGCGACGTTCTCTGCTTGTTTTCATGAGCAAATATAGCATGAACGAAATGAAATAATTTTAATATTTGCTCTGGTCTTGCTCCATTCTTATTTTCATTGTGAACAACAGGGCAACAGGAAAGAATACAATTTATCAGAAGTTAAATGCAGTGTGTTGTGGAACTTACTTGGTCCAAACCCTGGCCCTGGAGCTGCGATCTAAAATAAAGAAGGTGTAAAGCGACGTTAATGCTATCTCTCTCCACTTCTCCAGACATAAAGTGTGGCAAATGTGCTATACCTTTGTCTCTTTTTAAAGAAAAGCATCATTGACGTGCCTTTATCGGAAATAAAGCTATAGATCAGTCATTTGCTTGCTTCTTAACCGTCTCTGCGAATACCGGCCCAATCAATAACTTACTAGTAAATTTCGAGCATTTTAATGACCACAATGTAACCTTTGTCACACATTTCTGGGTAAGCGACAATTTAAAAATGGTAAACTCCAACTTTGGCGGCGATAAAGGGATAGATTGACGACTGACAAACGCTGGTAGATTCGCTCAGTTACCAAAAAACCGTTTTGCTGAGCATCCCAAAAGATCGAGTAAAGTCGAATAAAATGCCGTAGAAAATGTATCCGAATATAAACCGTAAGGCCTGTCTGCTGCTTTTTCAGCGTTACATGACTAGCAGACTTATCGCAAAGAGTAGGACACGGAGTTCCCGGTGTTGTGGTCTCGTCTTGTCTGACGGGTTGGTACTTCGCATAGGGTCAACCTCAGTGCGCTGCATTGCATTTGTCACAAGGTTCTCCCCGCAAAAGATGTGCCAATCATTTTCACTGATTTTTGTTTTATTAGTCGGAACCATAGGTTAGCATGTTCCAGGTTATTAGAAGGATATAAAGTACCTGGTCCAAAATATTCCTTATCTCTCTGGGGACTTCTTCTTCTTCACTCGACTCTGAAAAGGAAATTTTTAAAAAGGATTACACTGACCGACGCAATAATGGCAGAGATGCCAACTAGCGATTGCGCTGAAAAATTTCTTGAATGTTGCTAGAAAAAGCCAGTCAACTTGTGTTTGTGGGCGCTCAAGGGAAGCGCCATGAAAGAACAAATATACTAAATCGTAAGACTTCCTGTGCTTGTTTTCATATCTGCTCTGGTCTTGCTTCACGCTTGTTTTCACTGTGAAGAGCAGTGTGGCAGGAAAGAATACAATCTATCAGACGTTAAATGTAGTATGTCGTGGAACTTACTTGCTTCAGGCCCAGATCCCCATGAACTTTGGAACTAAAATAAATTAAGGTGAAAAGCAACGTTAAGGCCCCGTCCACACTACGCCGGAGAAAATAAAAAAACGGCGTTTTCACACCGAAGACGCATCAAATGTTTTCTGTGCACACGAAAACGCAAACAAGGCGCATGGTTTTCAAAGTTTCTGGTTTGAAGAGTGTTTTTGAAAAGCTCTGTTTTCGTGACAGATTAGCGTGGCCGGTAGGCCTAAGTGTAGAAACAAAGCTGCGTTTTCAAATTTTTCATGTGTAGTGTGCACGGGGCCTGGTACTATCTCTCTCCCCTTAGACGTGAAGTGTGGCACGTTTGCTACCTTTGTCTCTCTTCAAAGAACCTTTGTGACACATTTCTGGGTAAGCGCCAATTTTGTAGGCGATAAAGGGGTAGATAGGTGAGTGTTGCCCACACGACTCTTACGGTTCGTGACATCTGTACGTTTGCCGTTCTCCCGGGGGAGTACCCCTTATATGGGCTATATAGGTATGTGCGAACACAAAGGGAGGGTTTTTTCGGCCGTTTTGGTCATAAATAGAGTATCGATTTTGGCCATTTTGGTCTAAAATAGGGTATGGTTTTAGCACTCTAGTCTTAAATCGGGTATGTTTCTTGGAAGAAGCTACCTTTTCATTATTATCAATAAGACCGTCATCAAAAGCCC